GTAATTTCGCATTTATCATAATGTGAAAAGCAAATGCGCATTTGGGAGTATTTCCCTGTTTTTTCCCATGGTTCCACAGCGAGCATTCCTCTGTCTGCGCATGTGCAAGAAGCTCATTTCTAGTACATTTTCGGGCCTTTCTCGCTTGTGTGTGAACGTTCAATGCGCTTACTGTAATTTCGCAATTAAGGTAATTACATGTGAAAGCCATTTGCAGAATCAAGGTTTATTTTCGGTTTATTTTCGGAATGCCTCATTTCCACTTTATTATCGCTTTCTGGCCCACGTGTGATAATGTCCTGAGTGTTGGACTTTAACTCTGGAGACCAGGTTCCAGTTCCCAGCTCGGCCATGGAAAATCGCTGGGTGACCTTGAGCATGTCACACTCTCTCAGCCTCAGAGGAAGGCCACGGCAAGTGATCTCTGAGCAAACCTTGCCAAGAAAACCCCATGATGGGTTGGCCTTAGAGTCACCATAAGTAAAAAGAATCACTTGAAGGCGCATGACAGCAATTTGACGAAAAACACACACTGAAATACTCTGGAGAGGGTGGGCAAGGTAAGCCAAAGCTGAAGTGTATGTTGAAATGTTGGCCACAAAGTCTCCCTTTAGCATGGCACAGGCTTTACGCATCCCTTTAGCATGTCCCATCATCCCCCAAGGCAGGCCCCAAAGCCCTTGGGTCCCTTGACTCAGCAGTTCCAGGACAAACTCAAAAGTTTGTGGTGGGTTTGGGCAGAGAGGGAAAGGCTTTCCAGCCACCAGCAGGACACAAAAGCTGGGCCTTGGTGTGTGTTGGTGTGCGTGTTACCCTGGTGAGAGACTCTTCCTTTTCACCGCAAGGAATTGCGGCAAGACTTTGGACAAAGGAAAGTTTGTTCTCTGAGCGAGAGAAGCTTCCAGCATGGCATTTGATACCTTCTTTGCAGATGATGAGTTTTGGGAGGAAAGAGGTTCTTTTTCTAAACACGCGCGCACACACACACAATTGTATCTGCAGACTGGCATGAAAAGAGCAGCAGTGTGTATGTGTGTTTTCTTTTTAATAAAGTAAC